TATAAAGGCATGGAGTGTACTTTATGTTGATATTTATCTTTAGTGGGACTTCACCAATCCCGCAAATGCCACCTAAGGCTTTGCTACATATTACTACTTACCCAAAGAAAAAGCAAAAATAAAGAGAAGTAAAATAAAGAGATAAAGAAAATAAAAGTAAAAAATAAGAAATAATAGATCTGAGACATTCTCTTAGTTATATACTTGCTTTGCATTATCTCACATAAAGATCCTGGACTTATGGACACACCCATATACAAATGTATCAGGAAACAATGGATTCAAGGCACTGGTATCATTTATCAGGAACAGAGAACAAACTAATAATGAGAACTTGGAGATCAACTGAAAGGAATGAAAATAATGGGATCAATATTTCATCCTGTATCTTTTTGAAGGAAGAACAGCAAAATGTAATACAATCATTATTAACATGAGTGTTAAGTTTTAATAAATGTCATCTTATCTATCTTGAACCATGTAACATTTTGCGTTAGGATCCTGAAACGTTTTTTAAGCTGATCTTAGAATTCCTTAGATGTGATAATTATTATTAGCTGCCTTGAGATTTTTTGTGTTAATGTGCTAGCTATGGTTGCCAAGGAAAATACAACTTAAGATACTGCAACAATCTGAAGGCATTTCTGCTTATTTGTTTAATATTAACATGAAGAATAGAAAGGCTAAATACACATAGCAAACTTAGCACTTTTCCCACCTGAAAGGACTTTCATTTGTTTAGCTCTCCTGTTGGGCACTAGATATGTCTCATTCTTGCTATATACCTTGGCTTCCTACTCAATACTCCAAAGACCTCTGATATAGTTCCTGCAGGTACTTCTGAAATAAACTGGTATATTGTCTTCCAGGGCTATGTGACTACAAAAGACATCATCACTATGTTGCTAACCTGATGATGAACCTCCTTGAATGGAACTAAATGCACCCTCAGATAATAGGCACTATGCCCAGACATGAATTTGAGAAAGAATCTTACCCAGATTCCCATCAGTCTAGGAAAACCCAGAGCTCTACCAGTGAGATCTTCCTGTTTCTTTGCCCTAGGCTTAGAACACTTACCCAAAATTCTGTTGGGATTGCAGAATGGGGATTGTTCTCATCTGGAGCACACTAGTCTAGATTGGAGATAGTCAAACTTGTTTTGTTTATGTGAATAGAGGTATACATGTTCGTTGTCAGAGGTTTCTAGTATATGATAAAAGGTTGGCAGAAGCATAGCTATGTATAGTCACAGGGCCCACCTTATTAAATTATTAAGATTGAGGGGAGGAGTCATGCAGGTGAGAATGAAGAATCCTTCATTTTCCTATTACCTTGTGATAACTTCCAAAGTCACATCTCTTTAAAAAAAAAACTTGTAGGTACATCACACGGATTAACTATAATAATGATAATAATAAATTATAATAATGGTTGAGAAGAAACAATTCCTCCTATTTGGGTTAACCCAAATCCAACACCTAAAAATCCACAAATAGGCAAAAACCTTGACTTCCTACTCAATAAACCAAAAATCTCTGATATAGTTACTGCAGATACTTCTGAAATAAACTGGTATGCGGCTGCAAAAGGTATCATCACCATGTTGCTAACCTGATGATGAGCCCCCCTGAATGGAGCTAAATGCACCCTCAGATAACAGACACATAGTCCAACACCACACCCATTCATTAAGACTTTACTGCTTCATAAGACCTGCCCAGGATTTATTTCCCAATGGCATAAACTTTGAGAATCAAGGATCACCCCTACACCATAATCATATATTTAGAGCTGGAAGAGACAGAGGACAGCAAGTTTAACTCCCTCATTCTATACATGTGAAAACTTAGACCCAGGGAGCTGAAATTATTTCCCCAAAGTCTGCAGGCAGTAAGTGGCATAATCAGGATTTGAACCTGCTCTCTCCACTGCATTATGTTGCTTCCATATGAGTCATCACAATAGAAATTTAGTAGTTTCCTACTCCAAAATGAGGGCAACCTCACTACAAAGGAAAAGAAACTTGAGATGAGCGGATATTTTTTTCTATAGAAGGCTATTTTAAAAAGTGTTTCCTCAAGACAAGACAATAACACAACATCCCAAGACACATTTTTGCTAATGATCACCTAGATAAAGGCAGAAGCCTCTTTATTTCCTTTCTAACCTCAAAAGAAAGCCAACCTACAAACCCCAAACTAACTATTTTTATGGAAGGAATATTTAGAAGCTCCAACAGAAGTGGCTGCTTCATGCTGTGAAACTTACTGGACCCCATCTGTGCCTGTTCCCTGTAAAGTATTCTGGAAATATGCCTGGAAGAACAGGGAAAAAAGTGACTGATCATTTACAGAATAGCTACAGGTGTCACAGTCCTGGCTTCCTCCAAAATGAAACAGAAGATTAACCATTTGGTGGTAGTTTGGCACCACACCTTTTTCTTCTGTGTCCTTGATAACTGCTTAAGTCAACATACATGAGGAGTCACTCACATGATGAAGCAAAATTTCCTTTTAAGTAGCAAAAACTGTGGAATATAAATATTTGATTAGAATATTGATTAGAATATTCTCTCATCGTGTCACTGTTACAATCTTGTGGTCAAAAAGAATGGTGAGAAGACAGCCTGATCCACCTAACAGAGGTGATTAATTTAGAAGCTCTTCCATCCATTCCTGACCCTCATTTCTCTCTGTCTTAACAAGTGTGAGCACATTCTTCATATTTAGGGCACTGATAGGTTATAGCTTCTTTGTCAGTTTCTACTTGTCTTAAAAAAAAAAAGACAGCCAAAAAAAAAATGTGTTCAACTCAGAAGTAGCAGCTTAGTGAGAAAAATGAAATTCTTAGATGCCAAGTTTCCTGGTCAAGTTCAGAGGTACACAGAAAATTCTCTGTGTCAACTCATGTCATATTTTCTGAGTAATAATTTTTTAAAGGGCCTTTCCTATACATTAAGGTGTGCTGTGATTTTCTTTGTACAGAATGCTCGTTCAGTTTCAAGCACTTTAACTTACATTCAAATTTATGCAAAACCCAAACCCACTATTGCGCTTAGTTGAGCTAGAATTGTGAAATTTAATATTCATTCATTCAACAAATGTTAATTAATGTGTACTTAAATAGCAGAGAATGTCAGTGGTGGAAGGGATAAAGACAAGGTTCCAGGAGGAGCTTTTTAATATAAATGAAGGGAGGATATAATTAATCCTTTTGTAATGTGAAATTACAAAGAAGAGGTCAGCTGAAGGAAATAGAACGTTTCTACTGAAGTCGAAGTAGTTGTGCAAAACCCTTATTTAAGCACTGCATTGATGTGTGTGAGGCTTTAAGACACGGCCGGTACCTTGGACAGCGCAAAGGAGCAGCCGGGGTCTACATCGCTGTTCTTGGCTGAACTACAACAGAGGAAACCGAGTACCAACTGCTCGCCAGAAAGTTGAGCAAAGAGAAACAGAGCCAGAGCAAAACAGTTGTTTTTAGCGTTTTCATCACCAAACTGGGATGAATCCTGTCATCTCTTCAAGTATGCACTTTAATGACTCCCAAAGCATGCGAGACTCCTCCTCACAGATACAAAGGGTTTGTTTACACGTGTTTTGAGAGAACTTTGGTCCTTCAATTTGTTCCCACAGGAGCTCTCCTTGCCGGCCCATCTCACTTCACACTACTATCCATCTCCACAATCGGAGCTTGCCGGTTACGCAAGAGTCCGTTGTCCTACTCTCTGAAACCTATTATTTATAGATGCAGCTCTCGGATGGCGCAAAGGTTGAGCTAAAAGAGAGGGCTTAGAATTCGGAGCTCCCACTGCTTAAGGGGTGAAAGGGCCCAAGACTAGAATAGGGAAGGGTTCTTAGATTATGCCTTAAGGAGCTACACATTCCACAGTGCCTTCCAGAGATGGTTCTCTAAAAGGAAAAGTAGAAGTGAAGGAGGATGCAATGCTATCAACTAAACCCCACTCCGAACTCTCTACTCTGTAACTGTAACATTTGCTGAGCGCCCACAAGGTGCTGGGCACTGTGTAAAACACAGCCAAGACCATGCACCCATCCCGCTTTGCAATTAGAGAGGGCAGAGCCTTTTCCCTATTGCCCTTCCTTCAACCATATAATGGAGCCTGGTTGATGATCTATTCAGCACTCATTTAGACATGGACTCCTGGAACTATGTTCTAGGCAGCTAAGAACGGAACTTGAGCTGTTTTCTAACCTTTCCAGAGTCCCCTACGCCGCGCCCCGCCCTTTGTCACCCAATCACCTCCCTCCTCCTTCAGCCCCTTCCATTTCGTTTTAGCAAAGGCAAAGAGCACAGAGGGGGTTCAGCTCAGGTCTATCAAGAGAGATGCAAAACTATTGACTGGTCTTAATCACGGGAGGCCCAGATGCAATGAAATATTCATCTGGACTTCACGGTAAAGAGAGGGTTTGAGGATGGAGATGGAGATGTGAAAGTGGAGATGGGAGAGTGAAGAGAAGATGGGAGTGGAGGTGGGTGGGGGCAGGGAGAAGACAGAAGCAAACACCAGATACATCAGGATGATGCTGGTTGCCATCGCAATTCCCCACACCCGCCAGTCAGCTGAAGCAGCAGCAACTTTGCCTAGGACTCCTTCCCTCCTCCTACCCCCGGGAGGTTCCCAACAACAACCCCTCTCCGGAAGTCTCTGCTGGTCTGTCCCCTTCTGGCGCGCTCCTGCTTCCGACCTCCTGGTCCCCCAAATCTCCGACAACCTCCGTCTCCCTCCTCCCATCTGTGCTCTCCAGTTCCCAGAGTTAGGAAGCTGGGAAGGAGAGGACGGACGGGCGAATGGGATGCTACAGACTAAAGTTCTAGTCTTACCATATCTTCAAAAGGAGAGATAAACCTTTCAAACACCTTTTCCTACAATCCCCCCCCCAAAGTTAGCTTTTGCTGCGCAGCAGCCGATGGAGACAGACTTTGCAACCAAGGCGTTGTACATACACAGGAATGCAGAGTTTGCATTTACCTACCTGGGTGGCCGAGGGGATGGGTCCAGGAGCAGGCGATAAGGTTCAGCTGCAATGTGTCTGTCCTCTGTCCCAGTCCCCCCCAAAAAAATCACAATCCTGCTAGTTGGGTGGGGGCTTGACTATTGGAGTGGGTGTGGGAACGGATGGAAGGAAGGGGTGGGGGTTGTTGGATGTTTCTTCCCTTTCCCTTCTCGGGTCAGTTTAGCAGAAGCGCAGGGCGCAGGCTCTGGTTGGAGAGTTTGTGGGCTCCGGGTACCCTGCCTCCAACCTCTCCGCGCATCCGCAGGGGGCTGGGGAGTGGAGCGGCCGCGAGTATGGGCTCGGGCAGCTTGCTCTGCTCGGGAGTAGAGAGGAGGTGTGGTACCGAGGGAGGGAGGCAGGGAGGGAGGGAGCGGAGAGGGAGAGGGAAGAGGGGCACGCGAGGGTGGGGAGGCGAGTGGTGTGGCCGGGAAGGAGACGGCAGCTTTCTCCCACTGAGCTTTCCACCTTCTGACGAAGCCCGTGCGCTCGGCTCCGAAGCGAGACACTAGCGGGGAGCTGAGCTCCTCTCGAGCGCCCCCTGGGGGGTTCCGGCAGCCCCGTCCCAGCAAAGGGATTCTGCTCACCCCAAACCTGAGTGTGGCCATCCCCAGGGACATGTCTGTGGGGAGCTCGAATTCAACCTCCCCCTTCCCGTTGCTTACCACCCAAAGTGATGCAAGAGTTCTTATTTTATCCATCCACACACACCTCGATTTTTTTTTAATTAAAAAGGTAATCAAAAAGCACCTGAGTTCTACTCCCACCTCTCTCACTAACTACCTGTATGACCTTGGGCAAATGATTTAACCATTACCATGGTGGACAGAATGCTGGATCTGAGTCAGGAAGACCTGGAAAATCAGATCAGGTCAGGAAATCCTTCCTCACACACTTAGTAGCTGTGGGACCCTGGGCAAGTCACTGAACCCCTCTCCTCTTCAGATTTCTTATCTGTAAAATGGGGCTACAATAAAGCACCTACCTCCCTCGGTTGATGTGAGGATGAACTGAGATCATGCAAGTGAATAGCTTTGTAAACCTTGGAGAACTATATAAATGTTAGCACAATTACAATTACAATATTAGTATAATAATTATCATAATTCTAAGTATAACCTGTCACTGAATCCCCCACCCTTACACCAGGCAACTCTTTAGGATAGGAATTCAAATGTACCTTGAAGGGTACAGTTGCTTCAATTGCCACAGTGCATTTCCTTTTATCTAGAATGCAAAGAATATAGAGATAACAAGAACATCTTTATTTCAAAATAAAATTATATCTGCTTATAATTTTTTTAATTTTTACCACATTTTTATTTAAAGTTTTGAGTTCCAAATTCTATCCCTCCCTCCCCTCCCCAATCCGTGAGATGGTAAGCAATCAGATATAGGTTCTCCATGTGCACTTCTGTAAAACATTTGCCTAGCAGTCATTATATACAAGAAGATTCGAACAAAAGAAAAAAAAATGGAAGAAAGAAAGTGAAAAATAGCATGCTTCAGTCTATATTCAAACAATATCAGTTCTTTCTCCGGAGGCAGTTTCTTTATCATAAGTCCTTTGAGATTGTCTTAGAGTACTGTATTGCTGAAAATAGCCAAGTCATTCATCATACAATATTGCTGTTACTGGGTACAACATTCTCCTAGTTCTGTTTACTTCACTTTGCATCAGAGAATGTAAGTCTTTACAGGTTTTTCTGAAATCATCCTGCTTGTCATTTATTATAGCACTATAATATTCCACTGCTCGTTATTATTTTTACTTAGAATGCATTTACTTAGGAGAATAATAGTAAATTATGGTAAAAAAAATATTTTTAATTGCATCAATTGACACACCTGGCCCTTCTAGTGTATTAAGGCTTAAAAGCTGCAGAACAGTTGCCAATCTACATTGAAAGAGAATTTTCTCACAGGAGTTCCCTATGTCAATGAAATCAACCGTTTGGTCCAAAAAAGGGGTAGGGGTGGAGAGAAATGATGTATTCCTCAAACGTAGAGCTGTGTTCACATCTTACTTGACCCCTTAGGAAGATGTCATATCTAACTTAACCTCTGTGAAAACATGCCCTGGAAACAGATGTGCATCACAATGGGGTCTGTAACACCAGATGAACTAGAGATGGCCCCACCCCACGTTGAACCACAAATATTGGATATCTAGACCTATATAGCACAAATTCCAACTGGAAAACATTCTACTTCCTGAGACTGTATGATGTACCCTGTCTCATGGCTTCCTGTAGTTAAGGCTGTTTTTAAAGGCTGGGGGAGGGAGGTCTATCCCAGTTTCATCCCCTCTTGTTAGTGCTCCATCAAACGAAGCCTCTGCAAACAGGTAAATAATGGAACAGAAGAGAGCCTTCGCAGACCACAGAGTTCCCCATTTCTAAGTCCAACAAGGGAAAAGAGATTCTAATGAGATAAAGATCATCTGTACCACTAGTGCTCTATAGGGGCAATTAGGAAGGCCTCTGCTTTGTGTAGCTGAACTCAGGGAATTAAAGGAAAAGTGATATTCATAGGACCAGAGACCTAGAGTTGGGAGGGCCCTTAGAGATCATTGAGGCCAACTCTCACTCCCATTTTACAGATAAGGAAAGTGAGGCCCAGAGAAATAAGGCAATTTGTCCAAGGTGACGTAACTAATAAATAGTAGAGCCCAGATCTTATTTTTTCAAGTTTAGCACTCTTTCCACTGAACCACAGACTCAAAATTAACCTTAGAATAATTTAAAGCTAAAAGAGGCCTCATACATTCATTTTCCACCTGAGGAAAACTGAGGCATAGATACTGCTAAGGGACCAGAAGGAGGTCACAGAGCTAGGAAATGGAAGAGCAGGAGACCAGAATCCAGTTGGCTTTATAGGAGCACCATGACCAGAAGTATGAGGCGTAGAGAGCTGAGGAGAGTCCTATACTCAGCAGACAAAAATCCCAGCAGTCATCACTGGTCTCCCACATTAAAACTACATACACACACGAAATGCAATAACTTGTAATAAATCTGCATTTCTCTGCCAGCAGGCCTCAGCTCTCTAATTAGAAACAGAAAGTCACTGGCAGACCATTGTCACAGTCTGTGAAACACGTGCCCAGCCCTACACCAGAAACCTGGATTTCTCTCAATGCAAGACACCCAGGTAAACCAAGAGAAGCTTTTGGCTATATACACAATGCAAGCTATCCTTACAAAGCCACTTCTGTCTAAACAGCAAGGACTGGTTATGAATGCAACCAGGCACCTGGTATTCAGTTAACAAATGCTGGTTTCAATTCCAAGTTATAATTCACTTCTAATGTGTGTATCAACATTTCTCCCCCTTCTCCAATAACTGTGCCATAATTAGCAGTCATTTCCCCTTTGTCTCATTCACATACCTCCATGGCTGACTTCCGTGGATGCAAAGCTGATCCCTTCCACAACCACCATTTCAATGATCCAACCCATAACCACGTACCACAGAAGCTACTAGCATTCCCACAATGGCTATATCTCTGTGCAACTGGTTAACGTGGATCGAGGTTGGATAACACAAGGGGAAGCTTCCTCTCAGTATCTCGTGCCAACACTAAAGGCATCTCACATAAGTGACAAGTGAAACTCTGGAACACAGCCAACGAACAAAGAGAAAGAGATGTGGCTCTCTACCAAGGCGATGGATAGTGTTTCTTTGAAATGGCAACTGATGACACAGAAAATAGGAGAAGGGACAAGCAAAGAATTCCTGCCCTGCCCAGAGAACCATGGATCCTGCTTGGAGTGAGTCAGGCTGAGCCGCTAGCTTTTAAATTAGGTTTCTATTTTCTATTGTTTTCATCTTGAGCTGTAGGATGATAACATACTCAACTAGGCAATGGGACTGCTGTAAATAGCCAAATTTATTTTCAAGGATTTGTGTAAAATGAGAACCTTGAATCTCACCCTGCAATTACTGATAATTCACTAATATATTCTCTGCTATTTCATGTGCTTTCTATAATTGACATAAATCTCTCTCTTTCTCTCCCTCCAGTATTTCTGCTAACACCAAAGATGTGCCTAATTACTTGAAAACAAAGAACTGGGTTTTATAAATGCTACAGAATCACTGAAGCAGAACTAACATCCCTATCTTTTACAGGTTTTGTTATGCTCTTATTGTATTTTGATGCTTGTGATTTGACCCATGCTTCATCCAACTTCTGGCTGCCTCTTCATGAAGTTCCATTGCTACCAAGTAACTCCAGCTACCAGTAGATAGTATCCAACTTCCTCTAGTTTTCACAGGCTTCTGTTAAAAACCACAGAAGTAATTTTCTTCCTTGCTTAAAGACTTAGCAACAGAATCTAGCACCTGGCTTTGCTGTTTATAAGCTGTATGATCTTAGTAAAGACATTTAACCACACTAAGCTTCAGTCTCTTCATCTGTAAAATAGGGATAATTATTCAGTATTTGTAGTACATACCTCACACAAAGTTGTGCTGATGAAACTATTTCAAAATCTTAAATGCTTATATAAGTGTTAGTGGGGAAAAGAAACAAGTAGTATTCACTTAAATTCACACTCAAGTATAAATGACTGATTGAACATCCTTTCCTGGGATCAGATTTTAATGGGAGGAAGCACTTTCTGAAAGGGAGGATAATATCATGGAGAGTGAAGAAAGGACAAAAAGGGGAACATGAGGGTCCCAAGATATATTTTGCCTGAGGTTACAGCTAATTTTTCTGAATACCACATTTAACTATCTTATGTTCATAAGCCAATTTGAAAGAGACCCCAGAGTTCATCAAATCCAACCTGCTTAATTTTACAGATAAGGAAACTGAGATACTTCAAAGTAAAGTGACTTGCCCAAGGTCACATGGATAAAATGATAAAGCCAGCATGTGAACCGGATTCTTTTACTCCAAATCCAGCACTTTTTCCACTGCAAGGATAGCACTGTTAAGAGTTTGTGTGGCTCAGGCAACTACTGAGAACAGAACTACCAAGGTGTTTGTGTTGTCCTAGCCAAGGTTTGAAAATTGTGCTCACCATGGAATATTGTCCCGCAGAAGTTTTAAGCCGTCTCTGTTACACATGAGAGTTAAAATGAATGCCATGGAGAATGCAATTTTCTAACATTAAAGACGTGCATTTATGAAAAGCAATACTAAAAAGTACCCTTGTCATGTGTATTGTACCCTGGGCCATCACCTACTTAAACTTCTTCCTTTCCAGCTCTTTCAGGAAATCAGCAATCATTGAAGGCCTCCAGTTTGGGTTTTCTTACTTGAAAATTGCCAACAGCCTTTCAAGCCCACATCCTGAGTGCATAATAAAAAACCACTGATGTCAGTGAAAGGAAGGTCTATGGGTATACGGACAGTGAGCTCAGACCATCTCTCCACTGGAGGGTTATTTCTCTAGGAGTTAATCAGTATTGCACATACACATATGCACATACACTTGCATGCACATACATGCATGCTCACACACAGGATGAAGAAAAGG